AAAATATCGTCTTTTGTGTTCAGCACAAGAAAGAAACTCATACATGTTCTGAACAAGTTGAGGGTGAGTCAATGATAGAATTTAAATTTTGGGGTGAACTAACACTTAAGAGGTAGATGTAAAATAATTAATTTCATACTAGTTTGCCTAATCCTAAATGATACTGGTATTGATATAAAATCGGCAAAGAGAAGGTATAATGATGTTGGATACTTTTTTTTTTTTTTTTTTCTGTATTAAGTTGGCACCCATAAATTCAGGGTCCTTAAGGTGGTTCTCAAGGTCCTCCAGTTCCTCCTTGCACTGAGCTGTCTTGAGGTCCAAGATATTGTCCTCCCTTTGACGACTCTGGTTCCTCTGCAATAGAAGTAGAATTTTAATTTACTGACAACAGGAAACATGAATAAATGAGTAAAAGAACAAATAAAAGTAACCATGACAATAAATAAAGATCATCGTCACATGAAAAGTCATCGACACATGAAACAAAGCTTTATTCAAACATTATTCTAACAAACATGTATTTACAGGTGAACCCACATCCTACTGCCATCTCAACACAGCGCTGCCAGTTCTACAGCTTTATTCTGATGAAGCAGCTGACCACTGTGTCCACCTTCAGCTGTCTCTGCTGTCCATCACGACCCTCACTGCTGCAGTCAGACTGAATCTGATCATGGAGGAGAAAGGGGCATCGAGACTATTGTCTGAGTGCACAGAGAGGACGAGGCCCCCCGTACCACACAATCTTGAAGCAAGAGCAGGTGAACACATGCGGGACGATCTGGCTGCTGCTGAGTCTGCTCTAAACAATCGCCTGTTCTCCATGAGCACGACTACATTTACACAGAGTAAAACATTTTACAATTAATGTTGTCAGCATTTCATTTCATATGTTTACAATTACATGCTAATTTTTGTCATAACTTCATTACTTTAGTGGTGTAGTGGGCTAAAGCACTTAGCTGGTCAGCAGAAGGTTACTGGTTTGATCTCCGCAGTCGTCACCACCGGTGTGTCCTTTAGCAAGGCTCTTTACTCCAGGTGGCTGTTGGGGGATTGGGGTCCCAGTAATAAGATCACCGTAAGTCACTTCGGATAAAAGTTTCTGATAAATGTAAACGTGATTTTTGTAAATCCTTTTTTGTATCTTCGGTACAAACGCTCAATAAAGCTGCTTATTTCTTAAAGTTTATTTCTTCAAGGTACTACTTTTCTTTTGGGGGGGTTTAAAGGGTTAGTTCATCCAAACATATAAATTCAGTCATTATTTACTCGCCTCCACACTGTTCAATCCTTGGGGTATTTTAATTTTTTTCCTGAACACAAAAGGTGATTTTGGTCAAGTTTGTCCTGCTGGTTTCTATTCATACAATATCAGTCGATGGGAGCCTGACTTTCAGAAGCTTCATTACATTATTTGATGATGCTTTTGAAGCTTCTGAAACTCAGGTTTCATTGACTGATGTTGTATGAACCGAAACCAGCAGAACAAACTTGACCAAACTCACATCCTCAATGTCTTTTGGTCTTTCTCTAGATGCTCTCGCTGGCTCTGGGGTCACTGAGGATGAAGAGACCACAGCAGCATCCGGCCCAGATGAGGCAGTAAGAGGTGGAGTGATGGAGCGTCTCATCCATGGCACTAAACCATTTCCAGGATGCTGCTGTGGACTTCTCCATCCTCACTGCACACAGCAGTCTGTAGACATGTCAGATCCTACAAAAATGCACAAACACAATACAAAAGCAGTCATT